AGCAAAAAAAATAACTAATGCGAAGAGCAAATAACTGGTTTTAATTTAATTATGTACCTACCTATATCCATTTGTATCAAATTAATTTGAACCTATGTTTTTACATCTCCTACATTATCTACACAGTTGGTATTTCGTCAAACACTTGATGTGCAAAAATTAAACACAAACCCAACTTCTTGCTGGAAAAAAAAAAATACCGACTATGCAAGCGACAAAACAAATTTCAGCAAACGACCAATTGTATTTTAATGGATATATCATTTGCATCAAAACCCCACTAAGTAAATTACTCATTAGGTACCTATCTATACCCATTATACAATTAGTCGTTTAGTTTACATGAGAGCTGAGTTGACTTTAGTCACAAGTTCTGTTCTAGCAACAGAAGTGAGAAAGATAATCGGATAACAGAAAGAACCCACAACAAGTCGACATAATAAAGAACCCACAACACTTCAATCACCAATCAGAATTTTAATGAACATAAAAACCTGGCAAACAAAGAATTAAAATGTTCTTAAAAAACGATGATCTGCTCTCAACACTATAATGACATCACATGTTCTTTCTCCTAGTAAGACTCTGTATCAGTCTTGTCGAGTAAGACTCTGCATTGTAATTTACCTATCTAAGATATCATGTTTCTAAATATGCATAAATTACCTGTGTTATGCAGGGCAAACCACTCAAGATTTAAGTCGTCAGTGCCGGAATAGTTTGTCGCAGTTAGTGTTGTCAGTGTCGGAATCCTGGATGCAACAAGAACTCTCGTGAAGGAAAATTAGGGCTTTTCTCATAAATATAAAACTGATCCAACAAATCACTATCCCTATGCAAAATACCATTATGCAAATTAAATTCATAATCAAAACTGATGCATAAAGAGGATTGAATTGCAGGCTAATTCGGTGGGAGGAAATCAAAACAATAAATTCAGGAACCAAGGCTTAATACACCTCCCACATAACATGTTAAATTATAAATAATGGTAGTTTTGGAATCCGAAAAATATAATAAATCAGATTTTAAGTTATATTAGGTAACTGCTTAGTTGGATCCTAGTCATTAGGTATTATTTGAAACAATTGGGTATTTTAAATAGAAAAACAAAAGGCAGGGCTGTAGATGATTTTAAATGAATTTTATGGGTGTAACCTCAATTTACTATTTATAAATAGAACAATTAGCATATGTATGGGATTAGAGTTTGAGCAATGTTGTGGCACTCAAGAGCTCTCTTAGTGCCCATGATATCGTTTCCAACAAAAAATAATATTAACAATTGGCATATACATGGGATTAGAGTTTGAGCAATGTTGTGGCACTCAAGAGCTCTCTTAGTGCCCATGATATCGTTTCCAACAAAAAATAATATTAACAATTGGCATATACATGGGATTAGAGTTTGAGCAATGTTGTGGCACTCAAGAGCTCTCTTAGTGCCCATGATATCGTTTCCAACAAAAAATAATATTAACAATTGGCATATACATGGGATTAGAGTTTGAGCAATGTTGTGGCACTCAAGAGCTCTCTTAGTGCCCATGATATCGTTTCCAACAAAAAATAATATTAACAATTGGCATATACATGGGATTAGAGTTTGAGCAATGTTGTGGCACTCAAGAGCTCTCTTAGTGCCCATGATATCGTTTCCAACAAAAAATAATATTAACAATTGGCATATACATGGGATTAGAGTTTGAGCAATGTTGTGGCACTCAAGAGCTCTCTTAGTGCCCATGATATCGTTTCCAACAAAAAATAATATTAACAATTGGCATATACATGGGATTAGAGTTTGAGCAATGTTGTGGCACTCAAGAGCTCTCTTAGTGCCCATGATATCGTTTCCAACAAAAAATAATATTAACAATTGGCATATACATGGGATTAGAGTTTGAGCAATGTTGTGGCACTCAAGAGCTCTCTTAGTGCCCATGATATCGTTTCCAACAAAAAATAATATTAACAATTGGCATATACATGGGATTAGAGTTTGAGCAATGTTGTGGCACTCAAGAGCTCTCTTAGTGCCCATGATATCGTTTCCAACAAAAAATAATATTAACAATTGGCATATACATGGGATTAGAGTTTGAGCAATGTTGTGGCACTCAAGAGCTCTCTTAGTGCCCATGATATCGTTTCCAACAAAAAATAATATTAACAATTGGCATATACATGGGATTAGAGTTTGAGCAATGTTGTGGCACTCAAGAGCTCTCTTAGTGCCCATGATATCGTTTCCAACAAAAAATAATATTAACAATTGGCATATACATGGGATTAGAGTTTGAGCAATGTTGTGGCACTCAAGAGCTCTCTTAGTGCCCATGATATCGTTTCCAACAAAAAATAATATTAACAATTGGCATATACATGGGATTAGAGTTTGAGCAATGTTGTGGCACTCAAGAGCTCTCTTAGTGCCCATGATATCGTTTCCAACAAAAAATAATATTAACAATTGGCATATACATGGGATTAGAGTTTGAGCAATGTTGTGGCACTCAAGAGCTCTCTTAGTGCCCATGATATCGTTTCCAACAAAAAATAATATTAACAATTGGCATATACATGGGATTAGAGTTTGAGCAATGTTGTGGCACTCAAGAGCTCTCTTAGTGCCCATGATATCGTTTCCAACAAAAAATAATATTAACAATTGGCATATACATGGGATTAGAGTTTGAGCAATGTTGTGGCACTCAAGAGCTCTCTTAGTGCCCATGATATCGTTTCCAACAAAAAATAATATTAACAATTGGCATATACATGGGATTAGAGTTTGAGCAATGTTGTGGCACTCAAGAGCTCTCTTAGTGCCCATGATATCGTTTCCAACAAAAAATAATATTAACAATTGGCATATACATGGGATTAGAGTTTGAGCAATGTTGTGGCACTCAAGAGCTCTCTTAGTGCCCATGATATCGTTTCCAACAAAAAATAATATTAACAATTGGCATATACATGGGATTAGAGTTTGAGCAATGTTGTGGCACTCAAGAGCTCTCTTAGTGCCCATGATATCGTTTCCAACAAAAAATAATATTAACAATTGGCATATACATGGGATTAGAGTTTGAGCAATGTTGTGGCACTCAAGAGCTCTCTTAGTGCCCATGATATCGTTTCCAACAAAAAATAATATTAACAATTGGCATATACATGGGATTAGAGTTTGAGCAATGTTGTGGCACTCAAGAGCTCTCTTAGTGCCCATGATATCGTTTCCAACAAAAAATAATATTAACAATTGGCATATACATGGGATTAGAGTTTGAGCAATGTTGTGGCACTCAAGAGCTCTCTTAGTGCCCATGATATCGTTTCCAACAAAAAATAATATTAACAATTGGCATATACATGGGATTAGAGTTTGAATTGGCATATATATATATATATAGATTAAAGGGCTCAATTGGGTTTGAGCTCTAAAACCAGTCTCCAAACCCAAAACTTAAACCATGTTATTGTAGGTATGTTCTTCTAGTAGGGGTGTACATTGGTTCGAAACCAATACAATTTAGTCAATCCGCATTCGACCTAATATAGATTGGATTGTGATTTTTTCAATCCGATCCAATCATATTAGATGTTTAAATCCAATCCAATCCGATCTAATTGATATTAAATTGGATTGGATTGGATGATCGGTTTTTATAATAGAAAAAATACAATAATGAAATATTAAACATTTATCCTTATGTTTAATATAATCAAACATATTAATAGACATAAATGTAAAATATAAATGAAATATTAGAGAAAATTGTTTTGATTATATAATATATTAAACATAACTCCATTAAATGACTTAAAATATTCATAACATTTTCAACAACAAATACCTATAAGAGCAAAATAAGCATAAAACTAACTAGATTGGATTCGATTGGGTTCTCATAAGCAAATCCGTTATCCAATCCAATCATGTCGGTTTTGACAATTATGGATCCAATCCAATCTGCCAAATTTTCGAAACCGATTAAAATTGGATTGGATTGGATCTTGTACACCCTTATCTTCTGGGATTTTGATTTTTCATAAGATTGGGGATGAGGAGGGCCAAATTGGACATATTCGACACCTTCTACTCTCTAACCAAGCAAATATTGGTTTAGATTTTGAAAGCTATTGGACTTACGTACGGTTAGCCACAATGGAAATCGCCTTTGTGTTCAAAACTAGATTCAGTATCATCACTCAAGACCCTTGTCTTGATCTAGGCTACAAAGCAAGAAAAAAAAAATCTCATGTGAAATCTAATGGGTTAGGTTGGGATTTGAGATAGGGTTTGGTATTTATACCTCATACTAAAAAGTCCCACACAATTTCAAATGTAAAAACAATCCTTCAAAATTAGCAAGTTTTTGAAAACCATAAAACTTGTTGTTACTTGTCTAATGTCTTGATTGAATACCACTAGATTTAGCAACTCTCTTTTAAAAATCTTAATAGTCTTAATGGAATACCACAAGATTTGTTTAGATTAGTTAAAAGTCTTGATTGAATACCACATAACTTATTTAGTCCAAAATAATCTTTTAAAATTCTAATTGAATACACCCCTAAGAGCATCTCCAACCGATGTGTCAAAAGTGTCACATAGACATTTAACGGCTAGAAATAACATCTCACATCACTCCAACCGATGTGTCAAAGCTGGTGTAGCATGAAGGCTGGAGGTTGAGATGTTATTTTTGACATTCCAAAAACAAGATGTCAAATGAATATTTTATTATTTTATTATTTTATTATTTATTTTCTTTTTAATTAAAAATAAATCAACACTAAAATGTAATAAAATAATAATTTAATTTGACATATCGAATGAAGTGTAAAGCTGTGTAAGATGTCAAATTGCCACATCAACCATCAAATTTAAATTTGATGTTTGGTATTTGATATTTTCTTTGGAGATGCTCTAAGATGCATGTGTAAAAACTCTCTCAAGTCTCTCAAATCCAGACATGGATTGTGGACCAAAAACATAACATCTCTCAAGTCTTCTTACAAAACTCGTTTGTCTCACTTTGTCTCTTGGCCCCTACTAAAAGCCCGAAAAAGCCCAAAACCAATAAAACGCGTATAATTACACGTTTACACGTCTCTGTCAAGTCTTTCTCCGACCTCCGACTAGAACAACAACGACAGCGTTCTCTGAGCGCATGCCACGGAGCGCAAGCCAAACCCGGTGGCTCACCGAACTTCCCATTTGCAGCGATTGGGTCGTCGGATCCGCTTGACCCGTTTCAAAACTGCGTCTTTTTTAGATAGACCGAGAGATGTGGGTCTTCTACCTGATCTCGTTGCCCCTGACCTTGGGCATGGTCCTTTTTACGCTCAAGTACTTCGCAGGCCCGGAGGTCCCTCGCTATGTTATGCTTACCGTTGGGTACACCTGGTTCTGTTCTCTCTCCATCATCGTCATTGTGCCCGCTGACATCTGGACGGTACTTTTCATTTTCAATTTCAACAATTTTTGCCATTTCATTCAGTTTATGGTTGTGTGAATTTGATTCGATTAGGGTTTTGTTTTGTTTTGAATTAAAAAAGGTTTTAAACAATGTAATCTGTTTCAGTTTCTCCTTCGTGGGTGCATTGTTAGAAACTTTTGCAACTGGTTGTTTACTTCTACCGGGACATTTTCGCTGCTGCTCAGTTGTGCCCACCAAAGTTTTTTTGGGATTTTGTGATAATGCAAAACCACTTTTATTTGCGATTTGGGTAGCTGATTTTATTTCAGTTAAAAATTGTATCATTGGGTTCGAACAAGAAAGTAAGACGAAAATGGACTTAAATTTTATGTTAATGGCATGCATCTAATCTCTTAACATTGAAATAATGTAATGCTCTGTTTATATGGCATAAAAGAACAACTAGTTTCATTGATTGGACGCAGTATGACAATTGTTTGTTTGACGTACCAATTCCATGTTTATCAGCTGTAAGACTATCTGTTATGTTTATTTACTAGCTCCAGTTGTTATGTTCATAATCATTTGTCCATACAACAATTATTGGTTTCACGATTGTTGCCGATTCTTTTCTTTTATTACATTTGCAGACGATAAATCATATTGAGAATGGAGGAATCTCATTCTTTTGGAGCTGGTCATACTGGAGTACATTTTTACTAACTTGGTAAGCAACATGGAACTTCATGGACTCTTTTAGTTGCCCCTTCTATATTTGTATATAGCTGCGTCACATGAATGTCAAGATTTCCAGTTATTATATCATCCGACTGTTATCATCCTCTATCTTAGTTTGGTAATTAACAGTACCGTCAAGGCCCTTATTTTTAGCCATTGGAGTCATGTATTATGCATGCAATTGCTCAACAAAATTTGGTCGAATAAGTTCCATTGTTGTGCCCACCAAAGTTTTTTTGGGATTTTGTGATAATGCAAAACCACTTTTATTTGCGATTTGGGTAGCTGATTTTATTTCAGTTAAAAATTGTATCATTGGGTTCGAACAAGAAAGTAAGACGAAAATGGACTTAAATTTTATGTTAATGGCATGCATCTAATCTCTTAACATTGAAATAATGTAATGCTCTGTTTATATGGCATAAAAGAACAACTAGTTTCATTGATTGGACGCAGTATGACAATTGTTTGTTTGACGTACCAATTCCATGTTTATCAGCTGTAAGACTATCTGTTATGTTTATTTACTAGCTCCAGTTGTTATGTTCATAATCATTTGTCCATACAACAATTATTGGTTTCACGATTGTTGCCGATTCTTTTCTTTTATTACATTTGCAGACGATAAATCATATTGAGAATGGAGGAATCTCATTCTTTTGGAGCTGGTCATACTGGAGTACATTTTTACTAACTTGGTAAGCAACATGGAACTTCATGGACTCTTTTAGTTGCCCCTTCTATATTTGTATATAGCTGCGTCACATGAATGTCAAGATTTCCAGTTATTATATCATCCGACTGTAATCATCCTCTATCTTAGTTTGGTAATTAACATTACCTTCAAGGCCCTTATTTTTAGCCATTGGAGTCATGTATTATGCATGCAATTGCTCAACAAAATTTGGTCGAATAAGTTCCATTAAATGACTTTTCTGTGTTTAATTGTTCTATCCATCCTGACTGGTGTTTTTCTATTTGAGAAGATATTTATATATAAAATAGGAATCTTAGAGAACATTATACCGTTTTGTTGAGTTTGTTTAATGAGTTTTGAAGTATTAATTCTGCACCATTTCTAAGTTTTTAGCTGTGAAATGATGATTATATGTTTATCTGCCCTTTCCAATTTACCGTTGATTGGATATAAAATTAATGTGGTGTAGATATAAATGGGTTAACAGCTAACTTGTAAATCTTCTCCTCATATTTCTAAGTTATCTCTAAGCAGGACTGTGGTGCCCCTTATTCAGGGTTTTGAAGATGCTGGAGACTTCACTGTGACAGAGAGATTGAAGACTAGTGTACATGTTAACTTACTTTTCTATCTAATTCTGGGAGCTATTGGCCTTTTTGGACTGGTTCTTCTCATCATGATGCACAAGAATTGGTTTGTTCCTTCTCTTGCAAAGATGATTTATATTGATGTGGATATTAGTATCTTCTTAGGTTTGCCTTCAAGGAGTCCAGAGATATTACATAAGTTGTTAAATTCTTATTTTGAGTGGCACTGCCTCCCTATTATGCGATAAAGATTTGATTGTAAACAGTGGATGCTGCATAATAAAAGCAATTGGATGTGGTCGCAGTCTAACGTAAGAACACACTTTGGACTGACACATTCAAGACATATCCGTGAAATAATCATTTCTTGCTACAATAGATGAAATTGAAAAGGAATCAATATGTAGTGCATTTAGATGTGAAAAAGGTCTTGAGAGTATCTCACAAAGATGGAAGTCTAACATGAGAGCTTAAAGGATTTTGGGCCTCCCCACCAATTGCCAATTGGCTTTAGGTTGGATGCTTACATCACTGTTTAAGTATGAGCACAGTAGAGAAGGCTAGGAAGATGATATATCACTACCAGTCTAACAGGGGCTCATTCTTTTTACTTTATGTTTTTCCCTGGCTATTGAGCTATTCTATTCATTCCTCATTTTTATTCCTTCATTTTTTTTTTTTGCTTAAATAACAGGGGTGGAGGTGTTCTAGGATTTGCCATGGGCTGCTCGAATACTTTTGGACTTGTTACAGGTGCATTTCTTCTTGGATTTGGTTTGAGTGAAATCCCTAAGGGCCTTTGGAAAAATTCAGACTGGACTATCCGCCAAAAAGTTCTTTCTCATAAAATTGCCAAAATGGCTGTGAAACTGGATGACGCTCATCAAGATCTTTCAAATGCTATTGTGGTAAGTATTCTCTTTCAATTTCCAATTTTAAGATATCCATGTTTTGTTTTCTAAGGTGCACAAAATTTCTCTATCTGCATGTCCATTCTGAAATTCTGATTGGTGTTTCATTGTTTGTTTATCTTGTTGTAACTTGGATCTAAGTATGATGGTTGGCATTTTTTGGGCCAACCTGCCAAATCTGATTGGCCGACCTGACCCAGTTGCCTGGTTTTCTTTCCATTTTTGGATGAAATCGAGTCAATTCCATTTCAACCTGATAAAACAGGTTCAGTGTTGTTTTAAATACTTCTTGACCCGAAAATTCCAACTCCACCCAATTTGAATGAAGTTGTAAAATTTTGAGGTGTTCGTATTTGGTCAGTATTTGAATCAATCACCATGTGTTGCATTAACACAAATGCTTCAACCATTGTGCTAAACTTTCATTTTCTAATAATATTGTACATAATGCGAATGACCAAATTCAAATAATCTTTTTGAATTTTTTCCAAAGCTGACTTGGCCAAGTGCTTGCCCTCTTGTTTTTCCTTGCAGCAGACTGTAGCATTTCATTTTTCCATTCATTCTACCTTGATTAATCACTCCCATAATCATCCAAATAACATAAGATGCAACGAATTAAAATAATTGCCTGGAATGAAACTTGTGTGGCAAACACAGTGATCCATCTTTGATACCCGTGATCTTGAAGTAGACTGAGATAAGAGAGCACACAAAGCTATAAAGATTGGTGCCCAGGATTTTTCTTTTCTCAAAACGAGGAAAAGAAAGAGATATCAATGTATCAGTCCAATCAATATGACTTGTGTGATGTGACATGTTTAATCTATTGAAAAGATTGATAAGAAAATGACTGCAAGTTGTCTTTATCTCTGTAACTTCGTTTCTGCCTTAAGGAACCTACTGAGACGAGAGACGTTTGGGCTGGGAAGGTGGTAAGAAAGGCAGAACTGGTCCTCTGTAACTTTGCTTACGCTCAAACTTTCCCTTTGCCGAACTATTCTTTTCTTCTCCTGGGATATCTTGTTCTCATTTTTTGAATGCCAAATTTTACAAGCAGAGATCACAGCACCTAAAAAACGAAGACTCGACCTTTTATTTTCTCGATCAATGTCGTGCAAATCTCTCTCAAAGGCTCTCAGTTCTAGAAAATTGGCTTGAGCTTGTGTTTGCCATGCATTTTTTTCAGGCCTACTAAGTTTGTAATATTTTGGGCCATTTAGAATTTGTTTTGAAGTTTAAGTTTTACTAAACCCGATTTCCAACTCAACCTGACCCAATTTTTGGTGGGTTGGCTTGGCTTGGTTTTTAATGGGCACAGTCAGTCTTTAGTCATGAAAAATCACCACCTGATTATTTAAGATCGTTTTCAGATTGGGGTTGGGGGAGAAGAGGAAGTGGGTATGTTGTTACTTACAGTGACAGTTTTGCAACATGTGAGCTCAAATGTCCGGCATATGATGTCTCTATGACCACAGGGAATGCATGCAATATTGATAATGTCTTTGTGCTTTACTTGGAAACGAGCTGCATGGTTTGCCTTGTTTCCTTTGTGGCTGTGTGTACTGGTTACTTTGCTTCAGAAAAGTTATTATAATTTATTTGTATCATGTTTCTTATAAACTCAAATGATCTTCAATGTCTTTTTTCTTCTACATCTACCAAGCATGAATATGTGCATCTGCACATATTACTCCTTGTTCAAAATTGGTATGTTGATGTTTTACTCATTAACGCCCAGGCAAACAAGTTCAGTCAACTTGCTTATGATATGCTCGTAAGTTTTGATCTTAACTCTAGCTATTAACCAACTCATCTTTTGTTACAAAATTACTCACGCTCCATTTCTTTCATATCTTCCAGGATGGTCGCTCGTTATGCTCCTCCAGTTTCATACAACTTTCTCAATCTCATTCGTCTTGGTGAACATAAAACTATATTTGAAAAGGTATTTCTCTCATCCATCTCATCTGTCCTCTTACTGATCTATACCTTGCCCTAGCTAAAAGTAAAATGGAATGTGTTAATAGTTCTTTCTATTTATAGTTACATGGGATTCTTGTAGTGGAAGCCAATTTAAAAGCTTTTCAAACAATTTTTTTCTTCATGATTTTAGTATAAATCTAAATACTCTTGGGCAGCTGTAACCAAAAAGAAAATAAATCTCGGGTAGCATTCGAATTTGGTTCTTTTACAAGTGATGATTTTTCTAACTTTCTTTAGTAAAATCTTTTTTTTTCCCCTTTCTTTTCCCTGGCTGATGCAAATCTTGTTTTCTCATAATTGTAGCTTATTGACGAAAAAAAAAGTTCTCATTAACTGTAAATTCCTTTTCAAACATTGCTATAATGTTTTTTTTTCCCAGTGTAGTTTTTGGGTTTGGCATTTCATATCATCCAATATTATTGTTTTCTGTTCTTAGTTTTGGCTGGTATGTTTAACTGTAGAACTTCCCTCCTCCCTCTAGTTAATGATTGACTATTTTACCTTTGTAAATGTGAATTGCAGCGAATGGGAAACATTGATCAAGCTGTCCCTTTCTTTGGGAGTGAGTTTAACAGAATCTATCCACTTATCATGGTTGTGTACACCCTGTTGGTTGCATGCAACTTTTTTGACCGCATAATTAATTTTTTTGGGAGCTGGAAACGATTTAGATTTCAAACCGAGGCTGACAATATGGATGGTTTTGATCCGTCTGGGTTAATTATCTTACAAAAGGGTAAGCATATTTCGTGATCTTCTCTTGTTAGAAGGCTTAGACTACTACTATTCACTTGGCACGGGCCATCTGTGAATATCACAGATCCTTTACATTCTCTTTTTTTATTACAAATTTCAAAACCACAGGTTTTGTGAGGGCATATAAATAAAGAGATGTGCTTGAACTTAATTGTCCTTGTTTTGTCAGAGCGATCTTGGATTGAACAAGGTCTCAAAGTCGGTGAACATGTTATCCCGTTAGCTAGGAATTTCAACAGCACGGATGTTGAGACTGGCAGCAGCAACATGGTACACTAACATTTAGCATACTGCTTAGATTTACTGAATAAATTATCTGGCATACTGTATCCATCCTAATCTGTGATTTTCTTTTCTAGGTTTTTTTTGTTGTCTTTTTTCTTCATGCTCTGCTGGTATATTGGATAATAGATCATTTCCTAATAATGGTGGAATTTTCAGGATAGGACTCTTGTTGAAATGAAAGCAACAAGCAGTCTAAGCGCTGAGGGGGCAAATGGAACTCCCTCAAAATCTTCGAAAGAAGATCGCAGATATAGCTCAAGTAAAGAAGCCATCAGCCACAAGTATGCTGCCATTAGAGAACAGAGCAGACAAGCATCTTTCAACACAAATCCGGTGGAGAAGAATATTTCTGCTGCCAAGGTCTCCTTGCTTGATGGAGACAACTCTAACCCTGATAACACAGCAGGAGGGTCACCTACTGGCTTGTCCTCAAAGTGGGAATCAATGAAAAATGGTTTCCAAAATTTCAAGGCAAACATAGCAGCCAAAAAATTTATTCCCATACGCCAAGTTCAAGATACTATAGACCTACCTCGTGCTTCTTCTAATGAGTCCCTCGACGAGATATTTCAGAGATTGAAACGGCCATCTGTAGACCATGTGAGCTATGTTGACGAGGATGAAGATGGCAGGGAGGGAAAGTCTGGTCCTAGCAGATAATGTCTATAATCTGTTTTAGGTAATGAACTTGTTACCATTCTAGAATTGGGAATATTAATCCCATAAAATGTATAGCTCCTGTGGTGAGGGCTGATACCATTTGCTTGCTATGATTTTGACCGCAAAGATTAGTCCAGCCTGGGAAGATATTTTGCGATACCGAAACTACATACGTCTAGTCGGAAGACTCTAGACAATTTGACAGGAAAGATAGGAAAATTTCAGTGACTTGTAAAAAAAAAAGTGACAGTTGGGGACTCATGTTGTATTTGAATTATACGTGTAATTGTAAGAGAATGTCGCCATTTTGTTTATCCTCTGCAATGTAACCTAGTGGCCGACTCCCAAAAAATTACCAGTTCCAGATTCAACTCATTTTCATTTGACATGCGATTCTTTCTTTGACATTCTTCCATAGAGCTTGTTGTGATGATATCTGTTAAGAATGCTTCACACAGTGAAGATTATTATTTTAGGGGAAGAGTTTTCTTATAATAAATATATATAAAAACAGACCTATTTGATCAGGTAAAAAGAACTGGATCTATTTTAGCCATACAAATTATAAAGACCACGTTAAACAGATGACCTAACAGAGGAGCTTCAACAGTTTGTTTGAAATTTTAGTCAAAGAAGCAAATCATATGAAAACAATTCAAGCCATGCAACTTCCATATCAATTCAAATCAATTAATTGGATGAGACCAAAGAATAATAATATAAAAAAATGTCATGCACGTGGTCAAACACAAAGGCCCTTTCAAGTCAAATTGTCAAATTTCCCAATCACAATTGTTGTGAAACTTTGAAGAAATTTTGATGCAAGGAGGTAAAAAAAGGGTAAGGATGTCAACTGCAGTCTAACTTGTAAAACATTATATCATCACAAATATTCTGCAAAATTTCTTTTATGCAACATTTGAATTTGGCATCCAATATGGATTAAATTTGGCAGAAAAACCGCTAATTGTTTGATTACTATGAACAAGCAAGACCTTATCACGATTGATTGCACAAATTACAAACTTCACATCCTAACTTGTTACTTGTGGTACAGAAAGACATACATAATAATAAAAAAATATTTATACTAGACTACTCTTTGAGTGCTTCAAAACCTCCTTGGTTTTGCTCCCCGTTCTCCGAAGCAGCTTCGACCAAAACCCTCTTTTTTTCTTCTTCTGCTTCCCACCACCACTACTGGCCTTCTGATCTCCGAAACGATGATGATTTGTCTTCGAAACAACCGTGGCGACCGATCTGCTCTTCTTCATCACCCCATCATCATAATCATCATGGCCGCCGCGGCCATACCCACCACCAGTACTCGTGCTACTCCTTGTCATGAAAGAAACCGAACCCAAAATTTCCGAAGCATGACGCCGATGATGACGCTGAGGGCCTCGGCCGCTGAAGCTTGTAGAATAATAATAATTATTAACAGGAGGGGAGCGGGCGGAGGAGGAAACAGAAGAAGACGAGGAATTAGATTGATTACGGGGAGAAGAAACAGTACGAGCAAGTCTCTCACTGAAGAAAGTTGAGGAGGGGGCATATAGCTCAGAGAGCCTCTCACTAAGACAAGACGAACAAACACCTGGCGATGAATATTGCTTCATCATCATGTCGTCGCCTCCAAACAGCTGGTGCTTCTTGCATCCTCTCCCTGATTCAGACCAACCCATCTTTTCTTTTTCTCTGAATATATTTCTTATGAATTTGCCGCTTGATTTGAGCTTCTGTGAGCTTATATATATCTTTAGAGAGAGAGAGAGAGAGAGAGAGAGAGAGTACAGGGTTTGGTTGCTTACTGGTTACTTCATTGGTTTGTTTACATCAAATACAAGACGCACGCACGCACGTAGACTTTTCCTACGAAGGTTCATTTTAAGGGTTATAATTAATTACGACTTGGCTCTCCCCTCTACCATTACAGCTAGGTGCTGTCATCAAACCACAGCCCACATGTGGGAACTATTTTCATGACAACAACACTACTTGTCCTTTTACTTCCTAGGAGTAGTTATTTCTTCGAAAGTGTTTGGTTGGAGGTAAAAGAATCTTGGGAATGAAAAATCATTTCGTTTATCATGTTTGGTAAGTTCAAGTTTGAAAAAATGGTTCATGCTTCATGAGAAAATGAGGCCGAAAATGAAACCCTCCATCAAGCTTCAATTCCAATTTCATTTTCCATCGGAAATCACAGCAAACATAGAAGTATAATTGAAAAACTAAATAAATTTTCATAAATACTTTCCCAGCATTACCGAACATGAGAAATAAATCTTTATTTTCTAGAAAAGACATGAAACTAAATTCCCATAAATATGTGATGAAGAATGACTAGTACAAAAAGAGCAACTAATTTTATTAATCCAAGATGCTGGTTGGGCTGTGATCCTAAATTGTCACAACCACAACCCATCGAATGAAATCATTCCTTTTTATTTATTTATTGTGGTACAGTGGGAAATTCAATAATGTATTGTTGGTTGTTGCATGGCGACAGATGGGCACAGTCAAAGCGATGGACGGTCGTGATGCCAATAAATACAAAAAACGTGGGACCCACTTTGGCCTGGAATAGAAGACCAGGACGCAAGAGTCAAGACTATACGTGCCGTGATTGGCTGCTGCGTGTCCGTGGGCAAGATAGATCATATAAACAAACAAACAACCGTGGAGGGCGTTTTAGTTGTGGGGCGGCGGTGCACGTGAAATAGACTGCACGCTTCTTCTCTCGAGCCACGTAGGCCAAAAATAAATAAATAAATAAATACATAAATAATGGAATTCGTTTTGGCGTGCACATTGGAGGACGCGTTGCTGCTGCACATTCGTTTCGTGTTGGTGGGAAATGGAAATTGCATAGGAGAATATGATATGAGGCCACGTGGCGATATGGGCAAATCCAATTCCAACTACTTCAACACCAACCAGATCAGGATCAACGGCATTCATGGATTGGGCCAGGTTGATTCAGTCATAGTAAAAGAATAAAAATGGCCGAAAAAGTCATGTATCCGAGTTCCTGAGTTCGAATCATCTTTCAATATCATTTGTATCAAAAAATGATTGGAAATAACCCGGTCTTTATCCTCCTATTTAATTAAGTAAGAGGTGAGTTTCTACACTTTCATGTCATTTTAGCACGACATGCATGGTTTTGAATTTTGACTCACAATTTAAATTATTGAATGTCTTTTCAAAATTGAAAAAAATAAAATAAACGTAACCCAAATGTTTTGAAGTAATCAGATTCTTCGCCTACAAATCCATCATTGATCTACTTGACAATAAAAAAAAGGGAATTAGAAAATAAAAGAAATGGGAAAATGACATGCATGGAAGCACTTTGTCAAGAGACTAAAAATTTAAAGAATTTGTTGGGCAGTCTTATGGTTGAAATATGAGTTAGAAATTAAATTAGATGAGCATGACATGACACATCACTCTCGAAGTTTCTATGATGTGGTTGTTTTCTTATTAAACCGAGCCTGCCAACTTTGATTCATAAATAATGTCAAATTGGTTTTCATGAGTGTAGGAAAATATATAATAATACCCCATCATAGCATTTTCGATATTGTGGGAATTTGGACCCTTGAAAAGCTCATCCCATGATATGATTGAGAGGTAAAACATAACTGATAGTGAAACCTTGTGCAATACAAATCCTTATTTTTGAGATATTTACTAAGTTGAATAATATTTAAATTAAAAGTAAAGAGTTAATTTTTTAAAATATTCATTTTAACATCAATTTGCAAACCATTTATACTAAAGCCCAAGACCGTCCCTAAAATTTTTAGGGCCCTATGCCAAACTTAAATTGGGGCCTCACATAATCTAATACAAAAATACTATAAATAAAAATTTGTCATAACTTAATGTCATAAATAATTCTTTTATAACTAAAAGTTACCATTAATAAACATGTAATGACAATCAGAAATCAAATTCATAAAAATTTAAATGTTTCCATTTAATAAAGTTAAATATTAGTATGTTTGGTATAAAAGTAAGCTCCTTGTGCCACCATAAGGTCCCTTCATGCCTCCAATAAGTAATATGTGTTTAATAGGAAAAAAATTGGCAATCACAACTTAAAGAGTAGTTGCACACAAATGTCATTAATAAATTTGATTATATTGCATTAAACAGAAAAGTAACAACAAAAACATACATGACTATCCAAAAACCATTCACATTGTATTTGCTGTCTTTATTTGAAGAGTTAAAACTATTACGATATCTTTTCCCCCAAAAGAAAAAAAAAACACACAACTAATACAATACTAATGCCTGAAAATTGATCTTGAATTTTTAGAAGAGAAATCATCAATCAAATGTTCAGAATCAAGTTTTTCTAGTTCACTTTCAATTGAAATAAAAAGCTAGTCCGTTTAATCTTTCTTGCGACATAGTTTATTACAAGTATGATTTTAACAATTTTAATTTTGAAAAACTTCTTTCTATAGATGCAACAGTAACATGAATAGTTAATAGAATTCTATATGCAATGGATGCATTTGGAAATTTTTTTTAATCTTTTCAAGAAATTTCATATTGCAGTAGCTGTGATTTTTTTTGGTAAAAGCTTCTGTAAAACTTTCAACTCAACAAATAAATCCCCCCATCGACATCAAAAAACTTGTCATTTTTCAAAATTCTTTCCAGATGACTGCAACAATTCTTCAAATCATCGTCATCCAATGAATTTGAATTGAGATTTGAATATGAAGTACTCTTTGATTTTGAGTGGTGTTTATGAATTTAGGAATTAGGGTTTTCTCTTTTTGGTGTTGAAATTCCTGAAATTGAAAGAATAATAAAAATTGTCAAAGGATTGAAAAAAAAAAAAAACAAAGACAGATTGATGAATGATGAAGATGACTTAACAGAAAATCAGAGTTTAAGAGAAAGAAGAAGCCATTAATTTTTTTGTTTTTCGTTAATGAAGAAAGTACTTTCTTGGAGATGAATTTTTATTTTTATTTTTAAAGAAAAATAGGGGAGGAGAAATCGTTTGGATATATACTGCTTCTGCAAATAGATTGACTTCAATGAAAATTTAACTCAGGCCCTTCTGTTAAGTGGATATGCGATGGAAAGCCAATTCCACCACACACACTTTTGTGCAAATATTTAGCACACTATAGTATATATACAATTCCTATAAATTCCTATAATATTAATATATATAATATAAAAAAATTCAGGGGCCCTAAAAAATCGGGGACCATGTGCAGTGGCACCACTTGCACCACCCCAGGGTTGCTGTCCTCATGTTCTCTAGTTCTACATAAATAGATCTATTTAAATTTATAAATTACAAGTTTTAAACCCTTATAAATAATATATGTGTGTGACAATCACAATTTTTCT